TTCAGCTCTTTGCCACCCCTCAGTTGGGGTTGTCCATGGTGGTCATTCCTTCTTCAGGAAAATAGATAAACGAACAATGAGATACATAACAAAGGAAGAAAACCAAATGAAAGCCCAGGGTGTTACAATTTTGTTACAGCAAAATTTTCTGTCATTCTCCATGGTTAACCTGTGGTTTTCCTCTCCTCGGGTGATGAGGAGGAGACTGTTCTTTCCCACTGCAGGCCAAGCAATAGCGTTGTTCGCGCTGTCCCCGAAGTTCCTCTCAGGTATCACAAAATGCGTTATGGTGTTTACAGGGTGTTGCAATGAGTTGGGTTATACCAGCTTCTCCAGTTCGTCTTGGCTTCCAAGAAGGGTACAGCCTTACTGTATCTAGGTGTGCTTCTTTCACAGCTGGGCCATTTTTAATCAATGCAAGGATTTTTTATTAGAGGAACAAAGGTAATAAAAAAACCTCAATGTTTGAAGACAGTGGAGGGACGAAGATTCAGTTTTCCAACCTTAGGAGGAGGAAGAAAAGAGGAAGAAATTGCTGACTGTACATCCAGAAGTTTGAGCTTACACATTTTTTTGACTACACTGATCTCAGCATTTCTCTTTCTCTTTCGCTTTCTGTTGTGATATATTTTATGATGGGAAAGTGGAAATTATCTTTACATAAAACCATTGCTTTAATTTAAAAATATGTTAAAGATTGGATTCCCAGTAACTTCCTATGCTAGAAAACTGGTAAGAGACTCCAGAGTATGGATTATTGAGTTATTTCTCAAAAGAGTGACATCACTCCTTCTCCAGAAGAGGAGTATGCAAGTGCAGGGACAAGACTGAAGTCGGGAGTCCTGCGCTCTGCTTTTGACTTTTCTTCTGACTGCTGTGATCTTGATAGATGTGTGTATTTTGGGGGTCCTAATTCATAGTCTCTAATAAAAGTATTCCTAAAAGTAGCCCCATTAAATGAATAAAACAAAAAATATAATAATATCTGTTCAGTGTAGAATTTACCTGTACCTATATTTAGCCACTTCTCTATGGCTGTATTAATAATATTCAAAGAGTTTAATGAGAGACTTTCATGATATTTATGAAATACTTTGCGATTCATTTATGAAATGCATAATTTATTGTATAGAGGCTGGAAATAATTTCTTGCCCACCTGGATTTGCTCAGAAAATTATTTTTGTGGTCTGTGAAAGCCACAGCTATTTATTATTTTCATGTGAAAAGCTATGGCTTTTGTTTTGTTTGTTTGTTTTTGATGGAATAATAGGCTCTTAAATGTTTCCTAAAAAGGTGAAAACTACCAGTATAGGCAAAGACTTGCCTTTAACATATATGGACGTATTTTACTTGAAGGCATGGGAAAATAGTTTTTGGCAATATAGAGTACTTCTGTTGGAACATTTTAACTAAAGATTTTATGGCCTTTAGCAGGATCTGTTAGGCATGTTCTGTAAAATAATGTTCCTAACAGTGCAGTGGTATCTGATGCAATTTCTTTCATGAGCCCTAGTTCAGAGGTAGCTCTGAGACTCTTAGAGGAAGAATTCACTGTCTCCTGTTTGCTTAAATATTTATAAGCAGCAAGTGTATTGTTAAAGGAGGCAAAATAAACAGACCATTTTAAGCAGTTGCAGTAAGAATCACTATACTTTTATGGATATATTCTGTATCTCAGATAACTTGTACCCTTTCAAAGAAGTTTGACGTTGGTCCTCCAGAAACCGCACAACATCAGAGTCCAGGGAGCTGTTGAGGGGGAGGAGAGGAATTAGGAGAGAGTGAGTAGTTCAAGTGCAAACTTCCCTATTCCCTTAGGCCTGTGTGTAAACCTCACCAACATAGGGTGAAAGGAATTTGTTTTTACAGGTAGCCAGTGGATTTAAACATGAAAATAGTCTTTCTCGGTCTTTCAGAGCAATTGGGATAGTGAGTTTTTATGTTTATCACAGCAGGTATTTACAGCAGCACCATAGTTTGCATGGAGACCTGATTGTTACGTAAGGAACAGGCCTTGGTGAAAGTGTGGGCACAGAAATACCATGGCTCATACTTAATTTCTGGGATTTGATATCTTAACTTTGAATTTGAGGTGTGTCATTTCAGAGCCTCTGGGCTGGGAGTATGGCTTCCTCAGCTGGGCTGCAGGGGGGCTGCCATGAGTGCGGTGGGTTGTCCCGCCGAGGGAAATGGCAGTGACGTTTGGTCCTCACGTTTGTAGAGGTTTGGTGTTGTCTCCCCAAAATGGGATTGGTTGTCTAAAAAAGGGCTTGGTTCCTTGCTGCCTGTTCCTGTTAACCCACTTCTGGTTTGTAATTAAACAGCAACCAAAGCACTGGAGAATTGTGTTTGCTCTGTTTGATGTTGCACTACAATACCAAGTGGCAGTTTTGATGGTCTGTTGATTGATGGAACATTAGAGAGCCCTAGCTCTTAGTTCTATCTGAAACATGGCTAGATAACATCAGGGCTGAATTTCCAATTAGTCATACTCAGATTTTAGAAAAAAAATGTAGGTATAGTACTAAGTATTCTAGCAGGGAGACTTTTTAAAGTTTACGGTCTTGAATTCATTGAGTTCATCTGTGGCGGAAAATCTCCACAGATTAGATTATTTTATCTAGGAATTTACCTAGAACAGCAGAAATGGTTGTCTGCAGTTCATGTGTTGTCCCTCACAAAATGATTTTGTTTTTTCTAGTCCTTCACAAATTTGTTTGCTGCTGAAATTAATTTCTGTACACCTGTTACAGAGGATTAGTAGTAAAACACTTCTAGTTCCCCAATAATGATTTCTGTAATTCCTATAAAGATGTTTGGAGAGTTTCCACTGACACCAATGTTTTGTTAAAAATTTTGTCCAGACTCAAGAACAGAATGGGACCACAAGTTACGAGAACTTGGAAAGGAGGAGAAAAGCAAATAGGGAAAGGACTTCAGTGTTCCCAAACAACTCACAGTTGGGTAGCACCTGTCCCATGTACAAGCGAGATAAGAGAAACGAAGTGAGAGTATAGCCCGTGTGAAAGCGGGAAGATCAAGTGCAAAATGTAATGTCGTGTGATGCTTCAGAAAATTTCTGCAGTATTGCCTAGGAAACACAGTGCCAGTTTGCAGTCAGCAGCCTACGCATCTCACATGGCTCCAAGTAACTGTTAGCATCTCGGGAAAGCCCCTGGGACCATCTGTAGCTGAAGCGTGTTTCACGTGTCACGCAGTCGCAGTCCCCAGAACAGGGCTTTTACACAGACTGGCTACTGTAAGCATGGCAAGCCTGCAGAGCCCTTGTTTTGTTGTTTCACTGCTTCCGCAGCGCTTTCAGTTCCAAACTTCTGCATCTTTCTTCCTGTCCTGTAGGTGCCCAGTAAATCAAGTGACTGCTGGCCAGGATTAGTTCTTTACTTCAAAGTACATCTTTTGATTCTCCATATGCAATGTTAAGATAACTACTTTGTTACTAATCCCAAGAATTACAGGTTTGCTTTTATTTTTGTACATTCCTCCGTGTGTTCTCCTAAAGAACTGATAAAACAAATGATTCTCTAGAATTCCTCCACTGACCAGGCATATCAGTTTCCTTTCATGGGAGTCTGGAGGAGATGAAAAAAGCCTTCAGTAGCACTGTTTTGCTATATGTGCCTGCGGACTGTTTCTCAGGATCGTTCAGGAAAACTTCCAAACTTTCTCTTGGCATATTTTGACCGATACCATGTTTTCACAGCACTGATTTGTTCAGCCATGTATACGGCAGATGCCATACGCTTTGAATTATTTTAGGAGTTAGTGTCTTCTGAAGGAGAAGAGATTTCACACATAGCTTTACATTTCTCCACAACAAAACATAAGGTAAGACTGAAGTGATACCTTTGAACTAAGATTATTAGAAAACAGATATTTGTGGAATAGAATTATTAAGATCAGTTTAAGCTGTTTTAACCATTTAACCATTGTGCTGCAGAACAAATACTAATCTTTTGAGGAATAGTTAGAATGATGTAGGATGAGGAACTCCTAAATAATCCTACTTGAGACAGTTCGGCCTCGTCGTAGCAGGTGTGAAGAAACATAAAGATAAGGAAGCTGCAAATTAGCAACAAAACCAGACCAGGCCAGCCTTGGAGGACAAGATACGCGTGACCACAGGACTGAGTTTGTGAAGCAGTAAGGGTCAACTGGCAGACACAGTGAAGAAGACTATGAGCCTTCATCTGAAGACCCCTGATGACCACCTGAAGCCTCCAATAGACATGCACAGGAGACATTGACATATGCTAATGAGTTCCTAGAAAAGTTATGAATATGATAAAATATGATAAAAATGCAATGAATATGTATGATTAAGGTCGTATAAATACTTGTAGATTTTGTTTTCACACACACACACACATTATGAGGAACTATCCCCTGTGTGTCCGGGCGCTGTAATAAAAAATGCCTGTTTTCTGAAACTCCAAAATTGAGTCTTAGAGAGTGAATTAATTACCACTTTCCAGTAACAGAAGCGTAGACTACTTTGATTAGCCCCTGATTTTTAAATGTTGTCTTAGAATGGTGGTAGGTAAGAGAAGGGATTCCTTTAATTACTGTGTGTGAAACACACCCTACATCAGGCTGCCCTGAGGGGCCCAGAGCATCTGTCAGCCCATTGCATTGGAATTTGCTTTCTGCATATTCTGAATTACATCACCTGTGCATCTCCTTGGTGTTGGCTATAGATGCTAGGCTGACAAAGTGTTTTTTGGACTGACAAAGAAATTTGGAAGTTCTTGAGGTGTCTTTAACCATCTGCAGTCATTGGTGTGATTTCCCTCCTTAGCAAGTAGGTGAGATGCTGTAGCTGCTGCTTGTCAGAACTGTGTCAAGTTCAGTGGAGTGAATGTGTTGGAACCGAAGTTTGGTCTGAAGGTTAGCTCTCCGTGAGAAATATTTATAAAGGGAATGTCTGGATATCCAATGTTAACAACAGAAACTGATCCTTTTTTTCTCTCTGCTTCTTCAGATCTCCAAAAGGAGACATCCACAGTGAAGGATATGTCTTGGAGGTAGACTGCTGCTCCTCTTTAAACCAACTTTCAGACAAAAAGGAGATACCTGATTTTATTAAGAAAGTGAGTAAAAAAACAAACAAACAGGCAAAATCCAAAACACAGTATGATTTTATTTGCACTGTAATTACTGCTTCTAGTTCTGTCAGTCTGACAATAGGAATATGTGTACATTTTGTGCAGTTGAAACACTGCACTAGAATTCGGTGTTTTGTAGTTTTAAGTATCTGAAGGGCAATTATATTTATGGAGAGAAACAGGTTTGATCATATTATTATGAGAAAATGATTTGTAATGTCACAGGAGAGTGACCTCTCACAGATGATGTCAACTAAGTTGCCAGTGCAGAAGGCAGTCCTATAATGGTGTAAACATTTTAAGTTTAAACAATATAAGTAATTTCCATTTTAACGTCAGAATATCTTGTTGGATATTAGTGTAGCTAAAAGGCCTATTAACTCCTGGAATCCCTTAGATTATTTAAGCTTTGTTGCAGTATCACATGATGTCAGCAGTTAGAGATGGTACTGGCAACCTAAATCCCTTTGTCATCCAGAATAGTGTTGCTTTCAATAAAGTTTTGTATATACTGGGAAATTTGAAAAGAACCCTGCAATTCTTTATTTGTTGCCTTCTTTTTAGAACTATTCTTTGATGCTGTAATATTCTGCCAGACTGGAAATTAGCAGGTTATGTCCATTTTAGTGAAGACAGATTCATTGTGTATGTTTCAAATTTTGCAGCATCTGTTGTATCCTTTTTCATGTTGTAAAAACTAGCATTAAATACTGTATTTACTTAGCCACATGGCGTAAGAATAGTGTGAGTAGGCATACTCCCCTAGCTTTAATCCATCTTGCAGTGATAATGGTTAAGAAAATTTTGTAGAACAAATTTCAGCACAGGCTGGATGATCTTTATAGGGACTTATCTTGACAGACTACACTCATGTTAAATCTTTGCTTTTTGCTACGAACTGTATAAACTTAAAAAAAATGGCAGCTATGACTATCTGATCATCATCATCATGCTTAAAGATATATAGATTTTGGTATCAGAACAAACTGAAGTTTTCTGAACACTTACTAATATTCAGAAGTTTGAGTCCAAAATTTGTTTCAGGGTTTATTGTGTTGCTGCACTCTTATTCTGATGCTATCTTTGATTATTTCAGTATATTCATACTTAGGCAATACTGGTGTAGTTCTTGTGTATCAGCTTCAACATGTTTGATTTTGTTCCTCAGTTCTTTGAGTCAGAGTAGAAATATAGGCTTATCTGTCACAACTGGTAGCAAAATTTTATATCATTGCAACAGAAAACTTCTTTGTATTTGTAACTTCAGAAAGAGTATGGCTAACATGAAAACAAAGTGACAATCCAGGAGTCAGCTTATTTCCATAAATATCCAATTCTGAGACTTCTTAGAATGCTTTTCTAGACATGGTAATTTTTCTGTTCGTAGAAGCCATTTGATTATGGGGTTATGAAGATGTCTTTTTGAAACATAATCATTTAAATTTTAATAGATAAAATGTATATTTACTGGTTTTCTGTAGGCTGAGTATGCCGCTCATCCTCAGATGTTATTTGATGTAGAGGAATTTGAAGTTCTTTGAAGCTGTTGCTGTCAAGTGTGTGCTGTGTCACCGTCTATATCAGATTAAACGCATTGTGAAAGTCTCAACACTTTTATGTAAATCTAACTCGGGAAACAGGACTTGTTTGGGAGTTGGAATTAATTGTCATATTAACTAATTTGTCAGAGCAACAAAAATGTCCATTGCTTTTAAGGGCATATAAACCACATGTTTACAAACAAAATAAATGAAAAATAAAGGGTGTTTTTCAAAGTAAATAGTAACAAAAAGCTGCTAGAGAGGGCAATTGCTTGCTTTCAGAAAAGAACAACCCTATAATTCTTCTCAAACCGTGGAATACAATTGAAGTTAATAGAGTGTTTTAATTGAATAGGCAAATCCTTGATCACAGAGCTTTTCATAACAGGCTTTTAGCACACGTTTACCATCTTACTGCATTGCAAATTACTATATTTAAAAAAAAAGATAGTGTAGTCATATTTTCAAAACACAATAACAAGTCAAAATTTTGTCCAAGTGTAAATTTACTCGAAAAAATTCCTCTAGCCTGAGAAAATTAGTTTTATTAATTTTGTTATGCACTGCTGAGCAAGTATTGTTTACATGGAGTTTGAACAAGGATGCAATTTTAATAATTTCTTTTCTCAATTGACTTTTTGTTGCATTGAAAATGGATGTCATATTGAATATTAACTGCTTGCTCCCAATTTTGCAATGGCATACAGCATCGGTAATATCTTTTTTCTTCTTCTGTAACTCCATATAAATGTTTAAGAGTAATAAAGTAGAAACAAGGAAGTTATTTCACCTGGAGAATGCTTCTTCCTTACTGAAACGAAGTGTCTCAGTAAATGTTGACTACAGAATATTTAAGAAATGTCAAAGAAGACTCTCTGGTCAAACCTGTGTTCTGTTGCTGAGATCCTTCTCCACTTCAGGACTTTGTCCCAGTTCTTTAGTCTCTTCTGTACGTTTTTGCCACCACTGTGCTTTCTGACCACAGTATGAGCCTTGGAAGAGAGAAGACAGTTAAGTATCAGGGACATCATGTTGAATAGGATACGTTCTTCCCCTATCTTAAAATCACATCGACATCACCCTGTTTTTGTTCTTTCATATCAGCATGGATCTAGTGCGGCTCAGCCTGTCCTAAAGAGCTGAAACAGTCCCATGGTATCTTTGTCATGTAATTCCTGGGCAGTGAAAGAAGTAACTTAAGTGTTGTGTAGTTTACCACTTTACCACTGTATTGGTATTAGCACTCCTGTCTTTTGCTCTCAGGCAAAACAGAGATTAAATATTTGCTCATCTGCTTTTTAATGAGCAAAGGTAACTTCTGAACTTCTGATCACTGTGGCTCAGATCATTCTGAAGTTGTTGCAAGTCAGAGATGTTACTTCTGAGATACCATATTTTGTAACTCTTTCACTTGTGTCTCGTCTAAAATAGGGTTCCCTTTAATTACTTCCTTAGTTGCTCTTTATTTCTGTGTATCCTGTTGTCATTTTTTTAATCTGAGAGTATTCTGAATCTGCTGAGACAAATAAGGGAAGAAGCAGCTAGGCTGACATTCCACAAAAAGAGTTATTTTGGATGCGCAGTCATATATGAATGCCAAATATGTTTCTCATGACCTTTGTTTTCCACATCAATCTGTGTTACATGCTCTAGAAGAACTGTAACAGGCCAGAAGGTTTTACTCCAGTGTTTACATCTTTGCAGTTTTGGTGAAAGGTTAGGAAATGGAGAATAGCTCCTGTACCATATCTTCCCAGTTCTGACTTTTTAAAATTTAGGAAGCCTATCTTTGTACTCTTGGTTGCTTGCTTAATAATGTTCTGTCAGAAGGATGTTAACTTCTATGTTAACTTTTTTTGAGTTTGATCCTATTGCAGAGTTTATATTTCTTGTCCCTGTGGACTCGTTGTCCTTCCCTGAGGAAGTATGATAAGCACAGAAGAGTGTGGTTTAAGAATGCTGCAGCTTAACTGAAATCCAAATCCAGGCATCTTCCTTCTGTGCTTTTGACTAGACAGGGACCTCTCCCGGCTTGTCTGACCTCACCTGACTCAGAAATTAGCCAAATTTCTTACAACAAACCTAAGGCCATACAGATGAGTAATTGGGTTTGCATTTTCAGACGTGGACCAGTTCAGCTTGGAACACGACTGCCATCTTGTAACACCTACGTAATGCTTATCTTGCAAAGAAATCTGCTGGTGAGATGGTGTTTGTCACATCTGCTCATTGCAGTTCCCTCTGTTCATAGTCTGGGTGAAGTTCAGTGAGCGTACAAATGCCGTCACCAGCGCTAGCTCAAAAGCTGACAGTAACATGTCACTCCCTTAAGTGGTCCCCCGAACAACTTCTGTAGTCCGGAGTACCCTAGCAATAATCTTGACTCCTGCAGATGGAGTGTCTTCGCCTGTAAGTTTGTTGACGTTTATTTTCTAGTAACAGCATTGCTGGGCCAAGGAAGTGATGGTACCTCTCAGACTTAAGTGAGTGGGATCCCAGGGAGGAATATGCCAGGAAAGCACATTGCAAGGATGCTGCCACCCCTGTCCTTGTTCTAGAGTTGGCATCTGAAACAGTGACCACCAGTTCCCCCTGGTCCAAAGGCAAGTTGCACAGGGAATTGGACTATTTTGAAAGAAGGGCCACACAGTGCTAACGCTTGTATGAAGAACTCACATGCTAAATTGCTGAAAGGATCTACCATGTTTGAGCCTCTTGTCAGTTTTATGAAATATATGGTATCAACTGGAATTGTTCTAAAAGTCTTTTAAAACAGAAGAATATCAGGAATAGAACTGGCATGAGGAATTAATATGCTTCAAGTGTTAGCTTATGCACTGGAAATTAATACACATTACTATCAACAAGTTTAAGCTGTAGTTGAAATTTAGTGTACTCCTGAAAGGCGAGACATTTCTTGGGGGGGGGTTGTCGATCCTCCTGCACGTTATCTGCACTTGTTCCTTTGGAGGGAGCAGTGGGCAGGCGGCTGGTAGAGTGGTTGGGTAAGGAGCTGCTACACACCCCAAACACCCTCAGGTCAGTCTCACTGCATGTTTCTCCATACTGATGTTTTCGCCAAACTACTGAGATACTTCTTTTCCTGCTCTGGTGTTTTCCCTCCGTTCATCTGTAGCTCTTCTGTTGTTACCAAGATAACTGCTATCTGAGTTCATGTGCATAGTTTTCTGGAGAGTCATCCGTGTCATAGCTGTAACTGGTGAAGAATATTTGTATTAGTATTGCTGTTAAAAAGCAGGTTAATTCTCCAGCTTCTTTTAAGTTGCTAGGTAGAAGCAGGGTTGGAGTATTGAGGAGGACTGCAGTTTCTCCTGTAAAAGAAAAAATGAATGCATATATGAATTCTCAAGAGCTTTTTAAGTCATTTCCATAGATGTTCCTAGTCAAGGGAGTGATTCAGCCCAGACTTGGCTCTTCTCTTAT